GCCCCATCCCCAGCGTGTGCTCCGCGTTAAGGGGGTCCGTCCGTGTGGCGAGCCAGATGTGGCAAAGGGGGGTGGGAGTGGTCAGGGGGGTCCGGGCGCTGCCGCGGACCAGAGGCCAATCAACCAGCATCGACTTTTCCGTACGAGGGTGACCTTCGTACAGCGGCCACTTGTACAACGTCGGGGAAGATAAACTTCCATATAGATCTAGTAATTTGGGGGCTAGAGTAATAGGAACGGTTAACAAATCCTCTGATTTGAGCAGGGAATGCTGTGGCGGGGGCAGACGGAGCGGGGCTGGGAGGTGGTGGCACCTTGCGACATCCCACACGCGGCGACACTGGAGAAACCACCGGTCACAGCTCCGCCGATGGAGCCTTCCCAGCGAAAGTTTCTGCGCGCCGTAGACCATTGATGACAATGGTACCAGCATGTAGAGACAGGTCCTTTTTCTGTATGTGACCAGTGCAATGGAGCTTCTAGCTCTGGCCATTCACAACCTCTCAGCAGGGGAGGCAGCCTCCTTCACCACCAAGACTGTGAATTAAAGCTCAGAGAGCATTCCCCTCTTTCAACAGTCTCTCCCACCCCCTGTCACTCTGCTGCTGTAAAACTCAGTGCAGCTTCAGCTGCTTTATCATCTCATTTGCTTTCTGATCTGACACTAGCCTGCTATGCAGCTGATCAAAGGCAGAAACCAGAGTGCAGCCAGGCTGAGCAGCCCCAGAATTCAAACAAACATGTCACTTACCATCTCTATATGTTAGACAACTTCACTACTTTCTGTAACTGCCTCTTCTGATGTCTCCTTCCACACATACACACACCTCTTTGCTTTCTCTTTGTCCTCTACATTCCTTTCTCATGCCCACATGCTGTCATCTTTTCCCTTTTTTTTTCTTAATTTTCCCCCCCCCCCTTTTTTTTTTTTTCTTTTCTTTCTTTCGGCAGAAACTTAATACTATTTGGCGAAAAAAAGAAATTACCGGCAAAGGGCCGGGCAGATTAACATTTGGAAACTTATGAAATGTAATCTGCATATCCAATTGATTCCCAGCATATCAGTTGAAAGGATAAAGATGGATATCTCCATGATGGATATTGCATTAATAGGCACATAAATAAAGGTTGAAAAGTCATCACCGAAAGCTTTGAACCTTTTTCCATCGCTTTTATGTCCCATCAGCACGTCTCAGCACTGTCTATCTCTCTCTCTCTTTTTTTTTTTTTTCTTTCCCGTGTTACGTTTTCATTAATTTACAGTCCCAGCAGGTTTGGCAGCCCCAGAAGGCCCCGGTGCGGGGTGGGGGGCGGCTCGGTACCGGGGGAGGCTCAGTGTAAGGACAGGAACAAGGGACAGGACACCCCAAATTTCCCTCACCACCTCAGGCAACCCTGAGGCAAGGCTGGGAACCGCTCCGGGATTGCGGGGCCCGGAGGGAGGAAACACCCAGGGGAGCCCCCTCTACTGCTCTTCGGGGGCATCTTCCCGCGGCCCCGGACTGGGAGGTGGTTGCCAGGAAAGGCGAAATCCAGTTCCCCGTAGTCCAGCGAGGCTACCCGTGGATAAGGCTGAAACACTTAACCCTACAAATGGGTCTCTCTGCGGCGCGGGCCGCCCTCTCCCTCCCTGTAAAATGGCAATAAATACAGCATGTATTTCACTAACTCCTCACCTTTCTGATTACTACCAGATTCTCCAGTAAGTGATACTGCAGCTGCCACTCCATGCTAACACACGGCTGCTGGGACGAGGGCAGGGATGGCTCTGTGGTCTCGGGTGTGTGCGGTGTGTGCTCTCCGGGCTTCCCGGCCCCCCGGTTGGGCAGAGCCCGGGGGCTCGTTCCTGCGGGCCCACGGTAGCGAGGACGGGCCGCTCCTCCCCTTCAAAGAGGCGGGAGGAAAAGATGCGTGGCATTTATTTATGGCGTTAGAGATGGCGATCGAATTTCGGATTCAAATCCGAGAGGTGAGGAGACACCCCGCCGTGTTCCCGAAAGGGAGGGCCAGGCCGGGTTCCTGAGCCCACCTGCGTGTCTCACCCACGGGAGGGGAAACTCGCATCTCCCTTCCCCAGCTCCCCCATAGTTACCAGCCACATTTCAAAACGAGGCGTCTAGTCCTCGCTAACTACTCGTAAAAGCAACAGTGTTCATTAATTCCACCGCAGTAGATTTCCACCGAGAGTTTTACTTCAGAAAGAGACCAGGAGGGTTTTGCGGACCCCAGGTGGGTCACACCTATTTGTTCCGAAGGAGCACGCGTGGTTCTGCACGACCCACTCCGAGTTTGCCAGCAGGTACCGAGGCACGGGCAAACACCCGGCTCTCCATCCCCAAACATCACCCAGGACCTTCCTTCCCGCCCTCCATCCAACATCAGTGAGGCAGCAATTAAGGAGGGGGAAGCGGCCCTACTGGCACAGTCATTGAATTCATTAATCAGCATTTCGCCCGCAGCTACATGATTTCATCACTTTTAAAGATGAATGGATGAAAATCTGGGAAGAGAGAAAACGAAAGAAAGAGAGGAAGAGAGAAAGGGAGCGAGAAAGAAAAGAGAGAAAGAAGGAAAGGAAGAAAGAAGGAAATAAAAGAAAAAGAGAGAAAAGGAAAGAGAGCAAAAGAAAGAAAAGACCAAGAAGGAAGGACAGCAAGGAAGCAAAATAAATCCAAGAGGAAAACAAAGGAGGGGGGGAAGGCAGAAAGAGGAG